AGATAGACTGGCAAAACAAAGTGTGGTATTGACCCCCTCTCATAGAATATCCTCGTTCAGATGGTTACAAAACATTATTTGTATCACTGTTTTATTTCTTGTGATGCATTAAAGCCATTAGCATAAAGCATAAACACTGCATTTTTTTTTTTTTGAGAAATGGAGTAAGAAAAAAAATAGAATTTTGTGACTGAATGGAATTTTCCATTTGTCATTGTACTTTCAGTCACAAATGTAGTAAATATTCTGGACACTGGGCCTCACTGGTGGCGCAAGGGGTTAAGCACAGCACTGCTATCCACAGCCTCTGTAGCACGAGTTTGATCCCCAGCCAGGGAGCAACCCACATGGTGCAGCAGACCTCTCCTCTCTCCCTGCTGCTCCCCTCAGCAGTGTATTTCAGTCAGTCTGCCTGTTCACTCTGTCTCTGGTGAATTCTTTCACCGCCCCCCCCACCTCTGGCCTGTACCCCAGTTCTTGTATGCATATATAAATAAATCTTTAAAAAAATATTCTGGACACTATCACTAATCTTGGTGATTTTATTAGAGTAAAACTATATCATTTCTGTTTCCTATGCTTTGTCATCAAGATCATTAGCCTCCTTTTAGGGCCCTTGAGATCTGCACCTTAACTTTTGGCTGGAAAATCATCTTTTTCCCCACATTTACAGGCTTCCCACTCGTTCCCAAACTAGGATCTATTTAAGCAAAAGGACTTAAGACCTTTAAAAAATATTTAATGAGATTAAGTCTTTGGAACAATGAATGACAAAGAGCTATGACAGGGAGCAATTTCCAGCTTTCCTAATTGATGGGAACAATTTGGGTTTTGTTCATCAATTTCTGTTTGCAATGACCACTAAAGTAACTTCCTAAATTTCAGCAGTCTCAGGCAGTGTTCATATCAAATGTGAAGGTTGTTTGTTGTGGTGGGTGTGGTAAATTAAGGTGGAATCCCTTTATTTTCCAAGCCTTTGGCAAATTGAGTGGGATATATATATATATATATATATATATATATATATGTATACACACACACACGCACACATATATGTATACCGTTTTAACTTAAGGTGGAAGAAACATTTTAAAGGCATTTGCACAGATTAACAAATAGTATTTGTATACATGTAACTAAAACAGTAATTTATCAGGTAGAAGGCAGATGGAGGGAATAAAATGCCAACCTGTATCTACAGTTGGGTTGTATTGATGATGAAGTGCTGTTTATTCAGGACCAGCCTAGCTTGTCAGCAACATAAGAGCCGTAGCAGCACATGACTCCCTGCATAGCTAGAAGACAATAATAAATTATCTCCTATGCAAATAGCACCGCCATAAAAGCAGAACAAACAGACTCAGTCTCCTGGATTCCTGAAGATTCTCACTCATTCCCTTGTTTGACTCTGTTTTAAACTTGAAACTCCTAACATTATCCTAAATCTAGCAAGATCAAATCTGGTTTGAACAATTGTATTTGGATAGATAGGACATAGTGGTTCATGGTCTCTGTTCTGAGATTGCTATAAAATGTAATTTTGTTTCTCTAATATGCCTAAGTGACTCACACAAATCTTTGTTTTATCAGTATTTCATTTGATCCTATGGAATGCAGGACCACCCAGAGAAAACTGGGGGAATGTTAACCAAAAGAGTTTGATCTTAAGAATCACTTAAGGGTACCTGACAAAATACAGATGCTTGGACCTTTTCCTTGACCTGCTAAATGAGAACTAGTAAAGACCCAGAAATAGGCACCCCCTGGTGATTTTTGTTATGAAGCTAGTGTAAAGAACAGGAGTAGAGGGAGTGAGTCAGTAAAAGTCTCATGACAGGATTAAGATAGTCCAAAGGATTGGTTCATAGGAAAATTTATCAATTAACAAATGCCTCCCTAGAGCAGTGCTTTTAGATTTCAGTGTGCATTCAGATCACCTGGGATTCGTAGGGGAAAAAAATGCAACTTCAGGGCCTCCCCGATGGCCCAGCTGGTTGAGCGAAGCTCTGTGAAGGTGTCCGCAGCCTCTGCAGTTCCAGTTTGTGGGAAGATTCCCACAAGGCACAGCAGGCCTCTCCTGTCTCTCGCGCTGCTCCCCTCAGCAGTGTATTTCTGTCCTTCTGCCTGTTCTGCTCCCTGCTCTGTCTCTGGTGAATTCTCTCACCCTCCTGCACCTCTGGCCTGTACTCCAGTTCTTACATAAATAAATAAATCTTTAAAAAAAAATGCAACTTCAGTAAGTTCGGGGTGTGGCCCAAGACCTCTCTGTTTCTCATATGACACTGGGTATTGTTATCAACGCCTGCCTGTGAACTTGAATCCAGTAAGATCCTACAATCATCATTTTAACACAGAAAAATCCAAACAGATTGTTGCTGAGCCAACATTTTTGAATAGCAAATGTTCCGCAATAGGGCTTTCAATAATACTGATTCAACTGGATCCTTATTTTGTGCTCAAATACCAGTAAAACCTGCCTTGTCTTGATTGAGTGACACAGCCAGAGGGTCATAACATTTTTATTATATGTGAACATCTCTTAAGAATGTGCTTTTTTCCCAAGGGTTTATAAATATATTAGGGGATGTTATATACATAATACGATTATTTTTTTCAACTCTTACGAATTTTTCTTTTTCTTGGGGCCTAGAGCCCAGGTTAGGAATAGTTACCATGAGGTATACCCATGAGGGAAATGTCCATTCTCATCTTCTAGGATATTTGGGAATGTTTTATTGAAGCTGCTGCTCTTGCTGCCAGCAGCCTCTTCAGGCCCACTGCTGAGTGGCTCCTCCTTGGAAGATAATTTCCTGTTTTTCTTGAGGCCTACTCTATTTCCTGCCTCTTCCTTGCCATAAGCTGGTTATTAAAAAGAAAACTGTAGGGATTTTTGGTCAAAGTCTTCAGTCACTGGAGATAAAATGTAGGTAGCTGCTCTCTGTCTTTGTTTTCCTTCAGGACCATATCTTCTCTCACTTTTAATAATGGCAAGAAAGCTCTGCATTGAAATTCATGATGAATAATGCCAATAATGACTTAAAATCATTTTATCTATTGAGGGATGCACCTTGTTGATAACATGAGGTCCAAGAAGATAAAAACTTCATTCTAAATATCTGTTCTGAAATTCTTCTGTTATTGCAAGTAAATTAATTTTATAAAAAACTCCTACTTAAAGATTGTTATTATGACATTTGGGCAATAAATAAACATGAAAGATGACACTATGCTATTTGCAACATATGCTTCCAAAATATTTGAACATCATAGTTTTTCATGACCAAGTCAGTATACAAGGTCCTTGGTGTTCATCAGCAATATATCCTGAGACCTTTGTGAATTTCCATGTACAATTCCTTGTGAAGGAGTAGCTTTTACAGGAGTAAACAACAAAACTCCTGGAGGTATGGAAGCTGGTGAGGGCTGGCCTGCACATCTGTCTCATGACAGATGTCTCTCAGAGGTCTCACTGACCTTGAGATCCAACACTGCAGGATTATAGAGTGCGTGTATTATGGATATTTTAAGTGATTGGTAAATAGTCTAAGCCACCAATATCAAATCCACAAGTTTCAAAGAATTATCGCATACAAATAATTGACCTGGCCATGGAAAAAGTCTGCACTTATACGCACTGCACTATTTAGCAATTTGCAACAGTTATCTGAAGAGGGGGTACGTGGTGCTCCCACTTCCTATGGCATACATTTCTGTAGCACTATAATATTTTACCAACCATTTGCATAATTCTAATGATTTTTACATCAAAAAATTACTAAAATTCCTTTTACCTCATGAGTGATTTTTATTCATGGTGATTTTTATCAAGTAGCACACTAGACTGAAAGTTGACTGACCATACATGGTGATCATATATACAATCATAATTCTATGCTATGATAGAAGATTATGTAGCACATATTGGTTTTATGTTTATATCTCTCCAGTCATTCAGTAACATCTCTTAAGTAACCAGTATATGTCAGGCAATATGCTAGGGGCTAATATATGGTCTTCACTGAATTTCTTTAAGGAAGAAAGACAATTGTGCCAATAAAGTGGTTCTCATTGCAGTCAGTTAATGAAACCGGAAAGGCTGGCACATTTCCACAGATGATGTGAGCCACAGGTGTGTGTGCCCCATGGTAGTGGGGACCCTTTTAGTTACCACATAGAGCAAGCAGATCTGACATTGTAGCACTTACACAAGCCTCCTGGCCTTCTACACTGGGAAAAAAGCATTCAGAAAACTTAGCTAGGTTCATCCTCAGGATTCTGCTTGGGGTTAATAATAACCATTAGAAACCCATTCTGGAAGAGGGCAATAGCTTCCTCCTATTTTCCTACTGCTAGATTGCAATAATAGTCAGCAGATATTCCTATATCGTATGAACAATAAGAGGAAAAGTATGTTTTTCAAAGTCAATATTTAAAAATTTTTTTTAAATGTTAAGATATTTGTTCTTTGTCTAAACTATTTTTAATAATTACAAGGATTCTTTCCTTTCCTGGGTTATGAAAACAAGCCAAGCAATTCACAGCTGACCCTTGAACAACACTGGTTTGAACATTAAGGATCCACCTACACAAGGACTTTTTTTCATTCTACAAGGTTTGCATTCAGAGATTCAATATCTGCAGAGATATCTACAGAGAACTTCTAGCAAAGTGGCCAGCAATACACCCCAACTTGATTTTTATGATGAGGCTAGTATTAACTGGTTGCATCTATGGATGCAGAACCCACGGACACAAAAGGCTGACTATAAGTTATGCACAACTGCGCTGGGATCCTAACCCCCTGAGCTTCAAAGATCAACTGTATGTTATAAGCCATAGCATGAAAGTTTTCAGACTTTCTCAAAGCAAATTGTTTATTTCATTTACATCTCATAATAAATGTCTTTCATAATACAGCGGAAGACTGGACAATTTTGTGAAACACCTCCCCAAAGTTGCACAGTTTGACATTAATAGCAGATTTCCTGTTGTCATTTCAGAACTGTATGTTTCACAGCAACATCGCCAGTGATTTGAAAGCATTTACAGACAAGTTCGGTTTCGATGTCCTCATCTTGTTGGCCCGCTCCCAGTCAGAGGAGCAGCAGCAGCCAAGACAGCAGGTGGCCGTGTACTCTGAGAACTTAGAGCTGTGCAGCCAGGTAAGGTCCTCCCTACCAGGCACATTTTAGAGCACAAGGTAGAAGATGGAAATGGGTTGGTGGTTTAATGAATTTGGCCCGAGAGATAAAGTCCTTGAGATTGAGTGTTAGAACATGTTGGGAGTATTTTGCTTATGGGGTCTTTTAAAAGATGCCCCATGACTATTTTACTTCTAGACTGAATCTTTAGAAAAAAGCATTTACCTTTCTCACACAAATGTGTGCTATTTTCCTTTGGGTGCTATTTTCTTTTTGGGCTGCTGCTTAGTAATAACTAACAAGGTTATCATACCTGTTTGGTATTAGACATATTGAGCTATAGGGGCACACACAGTACAAGGCCTCAATGTCTGTTTGATGACAGTGTTAATAACAGGTGGTCTGATGCTTTAATCGCAGTTAGTCTGTCTCTAGGCACTAAAATTCTGACTGGGTAATCAGTCAGATCCTCTAGATTAATAACAGCGTCAAGACTTTGGAAATGACACAATAGGACAGAATTAATCAAAATAGGACACTAGGCATACCATATCAGGTATATGTATTAACTAATATGAAAACATTCATGAGACATTATAATATGGGCAACATGGACATGTGTGTCATAACGAATCTCTCCTCACTAATAGAATAGACATCCTGTAGGCTTTGCCTACACTTCTTTATTTTCTATGTCCACACTATCTGTCCCCCAAAAGATTGACCTTAGCTCTCCTCACACACAGTAGGTATTCTTGTAGTCTTCTCTGCTTTCTTAAATCTAAATGTGAAAGAGCCCCCTGTTCCTCCTGCAGATGCATTTCTCACCCTTTTTGTGACTGCATGTATCTCTGCATTACGACACCAACCTGGGGCTCTTTTAGTGCTTTGTTCTGCACTGGTTTCCAAAGCTGAATTTTACCATTAGTTACTGGTTTCCCAGAGATAGGACTTAGGTCTCGTTAGCCTCCAATATGGTAGCCTCCAAATCTCTTTATTAGCAAACGAATTTTAAAACAGTGATTTAAAGCACACAAAAATGAAAGAGTGGATGAAGGGATTAGAAGACCTTGAATTGAACCCATCTTTCTCTCTCCTGCCTCCTCGACTCTCCACAACCACACCACACCTGAGAGACAACTCCTTGGGGTCTTGAGCAACACAGGGCCAAGACTGCTCTAAAAGAATCCCTCTTAGTCCTCTTAATCCCTCTTAACAATTGGTTAAGGGTCAGCTCAACTGCCTGAGTTCAAAATGTGGCTCCATAACTTGTTAACTTTGTGTTATTAATCAAGTTATTTAATCTTCCTCTGTTGTCCATTTTGGCAAAATGGGAGTAAAGAGCCCTTCCCGTGTGATTACCATGCAAAATTATTGTGAGAATGAAAGGAGATAATGCATATGAAACTCTTAGAACAGTGCCTGGCATATAAAAGGTCTCAATAAATGCTAATTGTCAGTATTACTATCTATACTAGTGCTATAGTTATTATTGTTGTTATGGCCACTAATGCTATAGAGCCATTTCGAAGGCCTAGTATAAAAAATTTGCCCAATATTTCCTAAAAATCACAGAACCGCAGCCGATTCTGTTCTCACATTGACTATCACATGTCCCCTGCCTCCCAAGTCAGCTGTGTCTGTTCTGGGCTTATGTAGATGTTCATTGGGACAGGAAGGGGCAGCTGGGGTCTTGAGAGTGCTGCTGAAAAGCCCTATCTCTGGTAGCTGCTTTTTCTTTTCTATTTTCTCTTCTGCATTTTGACATTGGCCAGAGGTTAAAGCAGGTCCTGGAAGCCTACTCCTAAACAAAACCATTCTCCAGCCTTATTTCATCTTATTCTAACACTTTTCTCCTAGTTCATGTCAGCAAGCAGCATTCTCTCTGCTTTTTGCTAACTTGTGTTTCACTTCTGTTGAAAGATGGTACTATGTTATACCGAGGGGAAAGGATTTAAACAGTTTTAAATCTCTTTACCTATAACCATCAGGAGTCAGTTAAATTGAGCAGATGGGTCTTGAATTAAGCAAAAAGACAATTGAATAGACTGGAGAAAGGATTACATAGGTGTCAGTTGTTTGAATACTTTTTTAAATATATACAGATTAACATTGATAAATTTTATGTTAAGAAAATTAAGAAAGCAAATTGTGAAAAGCAGAGTGCCTTTGTGCTCATGCCAGCCCTCATGTCTTTCCAGATCTGCTGTGAACTGGAGGAGTCCCAGAACCCGTGCCTAGAGCTAGAGCCCTTTGAATGTGGCTGTGACGAGATCCTGGTGTATCAGCAGGAGAACCCGTCAGTGACTTGCGACCAGGTGGTTCTCCTTGTCAAGGAAGTCATCAATAGGAGATGTCCAGAGATGGTCTCCAACAGCCGGACGTCCTCCACGGAAGCTGTGGCTGGCAGCGCCCCACTCTCCCAAGGATCTTCTGGGATTATGGAGTTGTATGGTTCTGACATAGAGCCACAGCCCAACTCTGTGAATTTCATAGAAAACCCTCCAGATCTTAATGATTCTAACCAGGCCCAGGTAGATGTCAACATAGACCTTGTCAGCCCAGATAGCGGATTGGCCACCATTAGGAGCAGCCGTTCATCCAAGGAGAGTTCGGTTTTCCTCAGTGATGACAGTCCAGTGGGAGAAGGTGCTGGACCTCACCACAATCTCCTCCCAGGGTTTGACTCCTATAGTCCCATCCCTGAAGGGGTAGTAGCAGAGGAGCATGCACGGTCTGGAGAACATGGTGAACACTTTGACCTCTTCAACTTTGACCCAGCACCCATGGTTTCTGGACAGTCCCAACCATCTTCCCATTCTGCAGACTACTCCCCAGCAGATGATTTCTTTCTGAACAGCGATTCCTCAGAAGGACAGCCTCCCACGGGCCCTAAAGGACTGGAGGGGATGGGGATCGACATGTCTAATTATTCATCTAGTTCACTCTTGTCAGGGGATGGCAAAGATAGTCTTGCAGAGTTTGATGAGGAGTTTGCCCAAAGACAAGAAAGTCCCAGAGATGACTCTGAAAGAAATTTGAACCTAACAGATTTCATGGGAGATGAACCTTCTTCACCAGAAAGACTGAAAAATATTGGAAAGAGGGTCCCCCCAACACCCATGAATAGCTTTGTAGAACGATCACCATCCACTGAAGAGCCAGCTCTACTCTATCCAGAAGATATGACCCAAAACGTAGTTAACTCAGGCCACCTAGAACCACCTCAGACCCGTGCACGGTGCAGCAGCTGGTGGGGTGGTTTGGAAATGGACTCTAAAAATATTGCAGATGCATGGATTTCCAGCGAACAAGAATCTGTCTTCCAGAGCCCTGAGTCCTGGAAAAATCGTAAACCAAGCTCAGTTGATAGGAGAGCCTCAGAGTCTGTATTTCAACCAAAGGGCCTTGAATTCTCGAAGTCAGATCCCTGGGAGTCTGAATTCGCTCAGCCTGGTGTGGGCAGCAATAATATTCAAAACCAAAATGAGGATAACTTGCAGTTTCAGAACCTGCCTGCTGAGAAATCACATTTGTCTAATGCTTCTCCTCAGGGAACAAGCCACCTGATAGAAGACTTTGCTACCTTGTGGCCTTCTAATCGCTCTCCCACAACAATGCCTGAGTCTTGGGGAAATCCTACAGATGATGGTGAGCCAGCTGCTGCAGTGCCATTCCCAGCCTGGGGTGGGTTTAGTAAAGAAGATGGTGAAGCTTTGAAAAATACCTGGAATCTGCATCCAACGAGTAATGAGACTCCTCCTGTGAGGGACCTGAATGAGTGGGCCATGACAAAAAGTGGATTTTCTTTTCCTGCTGAAGACCTGGGCAATTCACTGGGCAATTCACCCAGTGAGGCAGATAACGAAGGAGCTCCACAGATCTGGGACAAGAAGAACCATGACTCCAGGGATAAGAGCCTGATATCTAGAAATCCCACATCTGATCTGGAGCATACATGGAACACTTCTAAGTCAGCAAAGGAAGATCAGAATGGTTTGGTGGATCCAAAAATCAGGGGGAAGGTAGATTCTTGGAACTTATTTGAGGAGAGTAACAAAAAAGGAGGGTCAGATGGCCTCGCTCCTTGGGAAGATTCCTTCTTATCGTATAAATGTTCTGACTACAGTGCTTCCAACATTGGAGAAGACTCGGTGCCTTCCCCCTTAGATACCAACTACTCCACCTCTGACTCTTATACATCACCCACATTTGGTGGAGATGAAAAAGAAATTGAAAATAAGTCATTTGCTAAAGAAGGAGGTCTTGAGTCAAAAGATGCTAGTTCTACTGCAGAGGAAACAGAAATGCCCCCTCAGCCACCACAGCAGCCACCTAGAAATCGAATTAGTTCAGATCCTGGGAACCTAAAGATGTGGGCTTTACCTCACGCAGATGGTAGTTCTGAAAGCAATGCCACTCCTGACCCAGATCAAGCTTTACTCAAGACAGAGCCTGTAGAGGATAAGAATACCTCTGCAGGAAATGACCCTGGGGAAAGCAGCCAGTCCAGTTACGATGACCCCAACATGATGCAGCTGTACAATGAAACAAACCGCCAGCTCACGCTTCTGAGCAGTAACACCAACTCCCGGCAGACTGCCCCCGATGGTCTGGACTTGTGGAACGGAGTGATTCTGGAGGACACTCAGTCCACAGCAACCATCTCAGATATGGATAATGATTTGGACTGGGATGACTGTAGTGGGGGTGTGGCGATCCCTGGTGAAGGTCAAGCACAGGGTTATGTGGCTGAAGGTACTGAACCTGAAACCCGATTTTCAGTGAAACAGCTTGAACCATGGGGTGTGGAATATCCAGAAGCAAATCAAGTAGACTGGGAACTCCCTATTTCCTCTGAGCACAGCAAGGACTCTGCCCTCAATGACCATGACACATTGAATGAGAAAAGTGGACAGCTGATTGCAAACAGTATTTGGGATTCTGTCATGAGGGAGAACAATATGCCATCACTAATGTTACCAGACCCATTGCATGTTACAGCCATACCACAAAGCAGATCACTTCCTGAAACTCCCAGCTCACCAGAAAAGGTTAAGGAGAGTCATCTCCGAGATGTGCTAGAAGCCTCTGGAGTTAGTGAGTCAGGAGCACTTACTCCTGATCCCCACAAGCAGGACACATCCAGGGGAACCCTGATTAGTGACACAGCAACATTGGTGACCGCATTTGAGAATCCAGGGCATTTTGCATGCCAAGATCCATGGAAAGATCCTAGCTACGGACAAAGTGAAGTTGAGACAGAATCTCATGGAGTCACTGAGAAGGAGAACCTTGGTGAGGCAGAGGTGCTGGATGGAGTCTCGGACATTTCTGGGAAAGGGCAAGATGACAAAGAATGCTCTCCCCTAGCTGCATCTGATCATCAAGAAATCTGCTATGAATTAGGCAGAGTCAGCCCTCTTTCAGTCACTTCCAGTCCTCAGTCAGAGGTGCCCCAGGAGGTTTTAGAACATGAGATAGGGTCATTGAATTTAGAACACTGTGATGTGCAAATAGAGGTGTCCACAAATCACCTGCAGGTACAAGAGACCTGTGAAAATCACCTCACAAATCACAAAAATTCCTGTGAAACTACTGAAATTTCAGGTAGACTGAATTTAACAAAAAATATATCTTCACCTGAATTGAATCTTGGGAAAACTGAAGAATGTAACATTCTGGAGTCAGAGAGAATGACCCAAGAGTCTTCTCGTGAACATCCTCAAAGTCCCAATGTTTGGGGTGACCATATAGACAATGATGTGCAGGTCAATTACACAGATTCTGAAATAACTAAGAATCTTGAAGTTAATAGCATTGAGAACAGCTCCCTGGGAGCCAATTCATCTGCAAATTATGACAGAGACAGTATTTCTAGTGAGTGTACACATTCAAGTGCATCGACTCCTGATTTAAATGATTCTTTAGCTGCATTGTCTTCTTGGGGCCAGGAACCCAATGCTGAGCATCAGAAGGTGAAGCGAGATAATTTGAGTAAAAAAGATCACCAAGAATCTGAACTTATTATTACTGATGGCCAAGAAATTACTGAAATGAAGGACCTGGAGAAAGACAGAATGGACAGGTTTGAAAAGAGCTTAGATCACAAGGTTCCTAAGTTTTTAGAGGTTTGGAATGACTCAATAGGTGGTGATTCCCTCTCCTCTTTATCTAGCCCTGAAATGGGAAAATATCCTGATAATTCAGGGACACATGAGGAAAAAAATCTAGTGGTGAGCCATCCTGAAAAAACTGTATGTGATAGTCCTGAAACTGTTCAGCCAGAGGATGCCGAGTTTATTTCAACAAACTCAGGTTTTGATGAACATAGCGTGGGCAATGAAGAGAAGGAGAAAGAGATCCATTTGCCTACTTGCGAAGTAGCTCAGCATGAATCCAGAGCTTGGGATTCATTGAGTGAATCTGATAAATTCTTGCCCACAACTGATCCCAAGCCTGAGGAATCTTCTGATTATGCAGACAGTTCAGAACCAGCAGAGAATGAGAATAAGTCAAACCCATTCTGTGACCATCAAGATAGCAGTCCTGAAGGCTGGAATTTCTCACCACTAAAGACGGAAATGCAGATGACAGTGGTAGATAAGGAGAGGCAATCCTCTCCAGAAGCAAGGAATAATGGAGATACTCCATGGCAAATATCTCCCAAAACAGAACCAAAGAATGAAAACTATTCTAAATTGGAAATGCTTGGCTTCTCAACCGAGAGCACCGAGTGGTGGAATGCCTCGCCACAGGAAGGGCGACCAATTGAAAGCGCATTTGAAGGGGAACTGTCTAATCCAAGTGACATGTCAGAGATGAATTCTTCAGCATATCAAAAGATGGGTCCCTGGGGAGTACCCATTCAGGGTGATGCTGATTCCATGGCAACACATTGTACAAGTCCTTTCAGCGATAAACATCAGTCACCCTTTCAGGATAGTGATGGAGAAAGCTCCCATCAGCAACTATGGAACATTCAACCAAGAGAGCCAGACCCAGAAGCTGATCAGCTTAGCCAGCTTGTAATATTGGACCAAATTAAAGAAAAAGACTCAAGAGAGCAAGCCTCCTTATCTTCTATGGGTGACGCACTCACTTCCGAAACACCTACCCAAGAGCGGTGTCAGAATACAGCGCTGTCCGTCTGGGACCAGCCAGAACCAACACTTATTCACACCAATGAAAATGGATGTGTTATATCTAATGTTTCAACTATTGAGAGTCAAGAAGCAATTTGGTGGGAACAGGAAAAATCATACCCTAGTGAAATAACAAATTCAATGGTTGCCTCAGAAGATTTCCCTGATGTCAGTTCTTCCAACCAATTTATAAAGAAGTCAAGCTCTCAGTGGGATGGCTCTACCCCTAGTGAGGAATCCCAAGGCACTTTTGTTCCAGATATTCTCCATGGCAACTTCCAAGAGGGTGGGCAACTGACCTCACCTTCACCTGACTTGTGGATGGAGGCAAAGCAGCCCTTCAGCTTGGAAGCAAATGGTGAGAATCCTGACATATTGACTCATTGTGACCATGATACTAATTCTCAAACTTCCAACAGCCCTGATTTATGTCATGATTATGAAGCAAAGCAAGAGAGTGAGCCTCATATCAGTGCTGAGGTGGATTCTGAAGGGGAATCCAGTGAGTTATATCTCACTGAGCAAAAGATGAGTGAAGAACCCAATCAAGAGTCTGGGCAGGAATTTGTTCCATACAATTCAGAACTGTATTCTGAAAATGAAATTGCACTGCCTTCAATTTGTGATCAAGCAAACACAAATGGCTCATCTCAGCCTGTCTCTCCTGAAAATTCTCCTGAACCTTCTGAAATAAATAGTGAAGACAGTAGAGGTTTACAAGGACAAGAAAAAGGAGCTGAACCAGCTATAGCATCTGTTTTGGAACCTGTTGACTTAACAGTTCCAATAGTTGAAAATATGGGAATCAGTATTTTGGTAACTCACCAAGAGCCAATTATGGATGTCAACAGCTCTTATATGTCAGAGGACTTTTCTCCTGAGAATCAGACAGATGCAGGAGGTTTGGAAAATCCTGTCACACTTCCTGGTACTTTGCTAGTGTCAGACGCTTGTCTGGATGTAAGTGAATCTGCCCTTGATCACAGCTTTAGCACATCCACAGGAACAATAGATGACATGAGTAAACTGACATTATCAGAAGGAAACCTCGAAATGTCAGTTGATGGAGATGCAGGCAAGCAAGATATCTGTTCCTCTGAAGCCTCATGGGGGGAATTTGAGTATGATGTCATGGGCCAAAATATTGATGAAGATTTAATGAAGGAGCCTGAACACTTTTTCTATGGTGGTGACCCTCCTTTGGAAGAAGATGCTCTGAAACAGTCGCTGACACCTTACACACCTCCCTTCGATTTGTCTTATCTCACAGAGCCTGCCCTTGGTGAGGAAATGACAGAAGCATCTGAGGTTCCAGAGGATGAGTTTCTACAGACCAAAGCAGTAGAAATTGTGCTTTCTGCCCATCCTGACCAAAGAAGTAAAGAAGACGTCACTGACACTAAGAACAAACAGCCTGAACACCAGCTGGCTGTGCTGCATATTCATGAAGACCCCGAGTCAGTTTCTTTGCCTGAAGGAGCAAACTCCAACCCTGAATTGTCACCATCAAACACTGACTGGGAGGTAGAAACAGAGAATTCAGATTCACCAGCAGGTGGAGATATAGTACCACAGAATGGTAAGAAACAGCCCAGTCCTCCAACCCCTACTATCAAGAAACTGCGTTTTTATTACATTAATGCATTTGTAAACCACACTCTCCCTATTGCCTTGGGTAGGCAATACATTTGCAATGGTTGCATTACAGCAGTGATACCTGCTGTTTCTTCCCACCCTAGCTACAGTAGTAGCGTGATGGCAGTAGATACTGCGTATTTGTTGCTGTGTCCTGGTAGTGCATGTGAAAATTAACTCTGCAAAGTAGAAGTATTTATTAAATTTTCTCTTTTTGCATGGATCATTTGCAAAGATCACAAATCTCATGTGTTAATTAAGCTTTGTTCTTCCTTTCTCACCTTTATCTTTCACCTCCAGGTGCCAGTGAGGAAATATTACAGTCGGAAGAAGAAAAAATAATTCCTACCAAAGAGCCTGAGCAGATAGAACCAGAATATGGAGAAGAAAGACACACAGAGGAAAATGAAGACCATCATGACCTACACATGGATTATATACTTGTAAACCATGAAGAAAATTTATCCCCCAACCCAGACGCTGGTGAAGCAAAAGAAAGCACCTCTGAATTAGAAGAGTTTCATAGAGGTTCCAAAGAAACAGCATTGCCAGAAACTCAGTTAGCAAGCTTCCCAGACTCATGTCAGCTGGCCTTAGATGAAAGCAAAGATCACTCTGTAGAGACAATGTCTCCCACAAATGATAAGAGACCATCTCTAGAAAGCCCTGGCAAAGACCAGACTTGGATGGTCTTGGGCCACAGTGAGGTTGGTGATCCATCACCCAAAGCTAAGGACTCAGAGCCAGAAGAGGCTGGTAAGACTGTGGAGCCAACCTCTGATCTCATCTTGGACAAGGGTCCCCAGATGCAGATTCTGGGAGAACTGAAGCCCCCAGAAACTTTAGCTCTAGAGGAAGCCTCTGGTTTGGACAGCCAATCACGGAAGAGCAAGAGCCGAGGCCAGGCTGGCTCTGATACAGTTATGTTGCAGACTGTCACCCATGACAATGAATGGGAAATGCTGTCACCACAGCCTTCTCAGAAAAACATCATCCCTGAAATGGAAAGGGAGGAGGAGACAGAGTTTCTTGAGCCCAGAAAAAGGAAACCAAGACCAAAAGGGTAAGCAAAAGCTGTCTATTTCTCTCCTGAAAACCATTTTATTCGAAACCAGAGAAATAGTGAGGGAATGTGGAATAGGAAGAATACCTAGATGATAGGAGCTTTGCTGATATTCATTGCAAAGCATATCATCAGTAAAAGCAGCTGCTAGATAACCATAGCAGTAATGATGATTTGTGTATATTTTGGATCCAAAAAGCCCCTTCAATTTCCATCCAGGGTCTCTATATACTACCAATCATACAGAAAAGGTATTACAGTTTTATGTAAACACTTCATTTACTGGTAGGAGTAAGGAGACTCCATAGCAGGCTCAGAATCTTAGTGTGAAACATTCATTCCTAATTGGCTGGAAAACCGGCAAACAGAATCAAACCAGTGACACAATCATGTATTCATTTACCATTCAGTTTTTAAGAATTTGCTCTGTGCCCTGTTTCTGGGTAGCCAATGAGCATTAGTAAACAAGAGATAATCTCTGCTCTCAAGCTTTCAGGCCCTGCTGAAACTGCTTAGAGTTGTCCATTTCTCTTCATTTGCCCCGATAAAGCCCTCCTGCTTCCAGGGATAACAAGGCATACTGTGAAAAGTTACTGAAGTCAAGGGAAGGAAACCATATTTCTTTCGAAAAATCTGGGAGTGGAGAAAAGATGTTTTTTCCCTACTCATTTTGGGAGTTTAAAGGACTGTGCATATGATGTATCAGCTGTGAGTCAAGGAATCTGGAGTCCAGCCTGGCTCTACAGTTACCAGTTATGTGTGAGATTAACCCTAGCCAAAATTTCCTCATCCTCAAAATTAGTGAGTTGGGCTGGAGAATGGCAGTCCTTCCTGTGAACTTAATTTGTGTGTAAATAGTAAATAGACTGTGCCCAGGAGAGTTTTGGCATTCACAAATTCTATTTCTCTATGAAAGGAACCGAGAAAATGGAAAGAATATTGGGGAGATTGATGGTGCGGTAAGTGCCGTAAGGAGTTAAAAACTGTACCATATCAAGTGCAGCTTTATAAATCCAGACATTTTCAGTTGCTCTAATCCTTTTTTCTTCCTGTCAAGCTATTTCCTTCCAGAGAGACCCCTGATCCGTTATGAGAAAGAGAGGAGCAGATGGATCCCAGCAGCCCTGCTGGCATTGTTATAGATTGAGCTAAGGACTCAAGCAGCCTCGAGTTGGTTGAGCTATTGTTTGGCTTCTTGCCTGCATTTTGCACATGCCCCTGAAATCCAACAGATGATAGTGTCCAATTGTGCTTCTAGCCTCTCCTCTTTCAATAAGAATTCTTTGCTCTTTCCTTTCTACTCGGCCTCTGCAGTAATGAAAATGCTTTGACAAGTGGTGAGGAGAACAGATTTTCCCACTGGTACTTGTATTACCCTTCTGCATAAATAACTTATTGTTATATTTGAAGGTTTCCCTCTGTGTTAGATTTGGGAAGGATGATTCTCTAAGTGGGTCCTAAGACCAGCAGCTTCAGCATCACCTGGACATTGTTAGAAATGCAAATTATGTGCCCCACCCCACACCTCCTAAGCCGTGAACTGGGGGTGGAACCCAACTATCTGCAGTTCAGTATCTTCTCCAGGTGGATTTCATGTATCCAAAATTTTGAGAACCACTGGTCTAAAATGTACTCCAGCACCTAGGAGTTCACAGTTTAATTAGGAAGTGGAACATAAGTGAAAAGATATATAATAATATGATATTTAAGTCAAGCTAGTAATGGCCAGCGTCAGTTTAAATAAATACTTACCGGTTATGTGCACATGCCATGGAGCAGGCACTAAGCACCGCATACCCACCATCTCACATTACCATGGCAACTGTATGAGGTAAGAATTACACGAGGGAGGAAATGCATGTTCAGAAAGGTTGAGTCACTTGTTCTGGCTCATACTTAGAAAGAGAAACTGAGGTTGGAATATGTGTGCACTAATGCTGGTGAGTTAGGAGGAGAGACACCTGTCTAGGGTGCTTTGATAGAGGAGGAACCAGTGGCAGCTTAGGATCCAGTAGGCTCGGGGCGCTCCCAGAGCACAGAAACTTTAAGGCAATCCTGAGGTTTGAATTTATTTTATTTTTTAAAGACTTATTTTTATTTTTATTTATGCATACAAGAACTAGGGTGTAAGCCAGAGACGTGAGGGGTGAGAGGATTCACCAGAGACAGAGTAGGAAGCAGAACAGGCAGATCTACTGAAATACACTGCTGAGGGGAGCAGCGGGCAAAGTAGGAGAGGTCTGCTGTGCCATGTGGGTCAGCTCCCTAGCCTGGCATTGAACTCATGCGGCAGTGGGTGGTGATAGCTTGATAGTGCTGAGGTTAACCTCTGTGCCACCAGGGAGGCCCCTTGGATTTCTTTTAAAATCAAAAGAAAAAAATTATGCTCCCGTGTAGTTTATATTCCTTTATACCTACGCAGTTCGAAAATAAATTTTTTAATTTTTTTTTTCCTAAAAAGAAGATGGGGCTCATGAAGGCAAAAGTGCCCCAGGCCCACAAAGCTCCATCTCCATGTGATTAGTGCCTTCCCATGCTCTGCCTCATGTTATATTTATTAAAGACTTTTTTTAACCTACCTTAGCCACTCAAGGGCTGTGACTGTGGCTTACACATCTTTATACCCCACTGCCTTAAATAGCATGTATACTATGAAGTTGTAACTCAAAGTCAAATGTTAATTAAAGGGAGATAGCAAAGTCACTTAGATGAGTGAATCTGAGAAACTTTAGTAGAATATCTGGCTTCTTTCTACCATGTCAAGTCATTTAGATTTTATAAATGACACTGGCCTATAATTTTCTTCATCTTATGTTCTGTTTGGAAATTAAGATTATATTTGCACCATAACACAAACAAAGAACACATCACACTTTTTTCTATTCTTTAGAGTAATTTATATAACCCAGGAAGTCATCTAATATGTGAGTTTTTTTTCTTCTTGGGTTAGTATTGCTGTGTAATATTTTCTTAGAAAACGTAGAGGGGCAATTTTCTCCCCCCATTCTTTACTTGGGGGACATTTAGCAATATCTAGAGACATTTTGGGTTGTCACAATTGGGGTGGGTGCTGCTGCCATGTAATGGGTGGAAGACACAAACACTGCTATGTAACCTACAATACATAAGAAAGTCCCCCACCACAGGATTACCCAACTCCAAATGTGGAAGTGCCAAGATTGAGAACCCAGCTGTGACCCACTACCCTGCTTTACTTTCTGTCTCCCATTTCTATCTAGAAATATCTTCTATGTATTTGTAGTTTTATTGTATCTGACTGCACCTGTAAGGCTGTCCCCTCCAGGAAAGCAGAATTTCAGTTTATCTTGTTTGTTATTGTACCTCTAGTGCTTAGAACAGCCCTCCAGGTATTAGGCACTTTACCATATGCTTGATTGAATGAATGAAGAAGAAAGTGCAATTTGCCCAACATTATATGCCTTTAATAGGTGTTTGCTGCTTCCTTTTCAGAAGAGATGTGCTACATTTAGTTTAGAAGTAGCTTAGTCAGATGTGCTAGATTCAGCTTGGAAGTGTCTTGTTTATAATTCAGGCTGCTGTCAAAATTATCATCAACTGGATGGGTTCTAAACAACAGAAATTTATTTCTTGCAGGTCTATAGGCTGGATGTCTGAGATCAGGTTGCCAGTATCAGGTCTAGAGAGGACCCGTGTCTAGGTCACAGACAGCCACTGCTTCATTATATCCTCACATGGCAAGCTGAGAATTCCCTGGGGTCTTGTGTGAGGGGACCAGTCCCATTCACGAGGGTTGCATGGGGTGATCTCATTTAATCCTAGTTACTTCCACAATTTCCTACCTTTTGATACTATCACTTGGGGGCAAGTGTGGGTGGGTAGGGTCTCAGACAAATTTCTGGAGAGGCACTGATATTCGGTACTAACAGGGATGTGAATTTCTTTTCTAACGTAGGAAAATTCATCTTTCCCTTCTTTTGAAATTTGAGATTATACCTATTTTGTAGTGTTCTTGTTTTTCTGTTCATTGCAGTTCCTCCAAGAATCTCATAACCTTTTCTAGTTCCATTTGATCCACTTCACTCAGTCTCAAGGAGAAAACAGCTGTACCTGTTAATTTTTCTTGGTTATCCGTTGCCTACAACCAGCCAAAATGGCCAGAGAATAAAAACCATTCTACTTACCTAGCCCACCTGTTATACCATCGATTCAAGTAGCAGTTGTCATTATATAATCTTCAAAGACCTTTTTTATTTTTAATCTCAATTCATCAAATAATAATTTGAAAGTATTAGGCTTTCAAAAAATAACTAAAACTCCAGTGGAAAGTTGACATCTACCATGTCTTTTTGGTCTATATAATCATCATTATGCTACTCATTGTATTTAAACAGTAACTCTTATTTTTAAAAATAATTGTAGCTTCAATACCCCTTGACATACAATTAAAAATAATTATAGCTTACAGTGGACTCTGAAGGAGGACTATGGGTGCCTTGGTGGTATATGTGTTGTGGCAACATATATCTGAAGAGCTGTGTCCTATACTTCTGAATCATTACAGTGTTATAGACCAATGTTACCTCAATAAAAAAATTATTCAATATTTTACCACTATAAATCAATACATATATCTATGACTGACCTGATGATGTAGCTTAGTCACTTTCCATATCAACTACTGACTATAAAACCAATATTTAAGACTTTTTTGCCTTTGAATATCAAACTACTGTATGTATGCCTTTCTAGTATGTAAGCTTTTCATTCATATATCCTTTTCCTTCACTGCATCAAGTATTTCTGCTGGCATGTTTAGAATTAAGTGAATGGTTGGTAGCTAAGACTTGTTTGTGAATTTATTTAAACTCAGACTCTCTAAGATCTCTACCTATCTCAACTTACTTTAAAATAACATCACTGTTTTTACCTATTTGTGAATTAGCAATCTGAGCACCAGGTAGTTTAGTAACTGGTCCAAATTTGATAATAAGTGGTAGAAATCAGAATCAAACTCTGGC